CAGCTCCCGCTCCGCCTCCCTCTTCGGCGGAGCGGGAGCGTCGAGGTCCAGGGGAGCGCGCTCCGCGAGTCGGGGGCTGTAAATTACAGCGTCTGCTTTTCCGGAGGGGGCGAGGGTTCTGCCGCGCATTCCGGGATGCCAGCCTCGCCCCCTCCGTCCCCCCCCCAGCGCCCCCGAGTCTCGCCCGGGCTCCCAGCGCCAAGCCCGGACTCCGCGCCGGACCCCAGCCCCGCGGCGAGGGCCGGGGTGCCCAGCGCCCCGCTCCCCGCCGCGCCGCCCCCGGCCGCGCCGTCCGGGCCCGTCTGGCCGCGCGCCCACGGGGGCCCGGCGCGTCCACTCCTGGGGGGCACCGCGCCCCGGCCGCGAGCCAGAGGGCCCGAGAGCAACAGTCCACCGGGCACTCCTGGGAACAGCCACCGCCTCAGCTCGGGCGCCGGCTCGCCAGCCTCCCGCGCACCCGGCATCCCGGGAATGTAAACAGACCCGCTGCGTCGCTGGCTCTCCGCGGCCGGGGAAGGCGCCGGGCACTGGGCGCCCCTCGCCGGCGCGGCCCCGGGTGCGCCCTCTCCCATAAAGTGCATCTCCTGCTGCGGTCCTGGGCGGGGGCGCTGCGCCCCCCACCCCACGCGAAGCCTTCACCTCCAGCGCGACACACACAAAGTTACTCGAGTTAATACTTCTTTTCCCTAGCAGGCTCCCTAACCTTTAAGAAAAAAAAAAAAAAAGGAAAAAAAAGGGAAAAAGAAACCGGAGGGACCCCACCCCCTCTTTTTCTGATTGGGGAGCCGACCTTTTGTTGGCCAGGCTGGCCAATGGGGAGAGAGAAAAAACCCGGGTGCTGCCTCGGGCCCAGGGGTCGCCCGGCTGCGGGGCAGGGCCGGGCGGGGTGGCCCCCCTGAGTCCTGCGCCCGGCCCTGGGGCTCACCTGTCCGCCCGGCCCAGCACGAGTCTCTCTCCTGGTTTAAATAAAACAACTTCAAGAGTTGAAATATATATATTTAGATACTTTTCTTAAATAACATATTTACATCTAATAGAAAATATAACTCTAGAGATAATCTTTCCAACCAAAACGGGGGCGGGAGGAGAGCGCCGGGGTGGGCGGGCGGACCCCGAGGGCCCCCCGCCCGGAAATAAAAAGCCCCTCGCCAGGGCCACGCCCACCCGCTCGCCTGCTCTCGGGGGACCCTCCCCCTTTTCATCTTTTCTCCTTAAAAAAGCCTTGGTCCGTGTTACTTTCCTTAATGGTGACGGTCAAAAAGTTTGAGGTCACGTCGGTGACCACCACCTTCTCCAGGTTGGTCAGAGAGGGGCTCCAGGACTCCTCCTCTGGGTCCCCCAGGATTCTGGCCACGGGGATCCTGGCGATGAGGGAGGGCCTTCCCCCTTGGGCCCCCATGTCCCGATACAAGCCTCCCACAGAGCCTGGGGTGCCTGAACCGTGCCGGACCCGGGGGCCACCAGGGTCCAGGGCGCCCTGACCTTTGGCCTCCAGGAAGGCGGCCCTGTGCTTTATGACCCTGGCGGGAAAGGTGTCCACGGCCAGCTTGCCCGTGGCCTCGGTCGGGCTGGGGCTGGCCACGCCGCACTGGGCTGGGTCCGAGTCCTGCCTTCGGGCCAGCTGGATCACACTGTGGCCAGCCGGGAACTTTCCTGCCCCGGCAGGGGTGTCGTCCAGCTTCCTGCCCTTGAGGTAATCCCCGAGGCTGTCGCCAGGTTCTCCCAAAGGCCTCTGCGAGGGGTCCAGGGGCTCCTTCCGGGGCTTGGGGCCTCTTTTCTTGGAACTGTCGCCCGGAGAACAGGGCTTCTCCTCGGTGCGGCTGGCAACCCGCTCCCGATCCTGCTCCCGGTCCCGGTCCCGCTCCCGAGGGGGCTCCACACGGCAGGTGCTGCTGGTGCTGCTGCTGCTCCCAGGTGGGGACAGACCCATGTTCCGAAGGCCCTCGCGGGCCCGAGAAGTAGAGGCCAGGTCCTGGGGTGAGCGGCCAGGGTAGGGGATCCGGATGCCCCGCGCTGAGTCACTTCGGAATTCGTAGGTTTTGGCCTTTGCCTTGGCCTGGGCCTGCGGGAGAGTCAGGGTCAAGGCTGAGAGGCCCTGGCCGCTCCCCACAGGACCCTCTTCCAGCCCTGGCCTCCTGCGTCCCCCTCCCATGCCTCAGATTTCCCATGTGGGTGGGGGTAGGGCGGGGGGGGGCAGCCCCCAGGGTCAAGGGAGAAAGGACTGGCCTGGAAGCAGTCAGGGCAGCCCACGCACATTTGTCACATTTGACTATTAGCCTTTTTGGGGTGGCTGGGGGTGGTCACAAAAGAATTCTAGTGTGGCCAAGCCCCTCCCCCCAAGCCCCTCCATGGCACTGCCACCGACCTGGTGACAGCTTGTCTGGGGACTCCCTCTTGGACGACCAAATGGCTGCGGGGGTACCCCAGCATGTGGAAGCCATGGCTCACAAGCCCCCCACCCCCACCCCCGGCCCCTTCCCACAAACCCACAGAAGGCATTTGCCCACCACTGCATGCCGCCTCCTACCTTGAGGAGGAAGGTTTTGGGTTTGGGGCCTCGCTTTTTGGGGCCATAGAGCTCCATCTCTCGTTCCCTGGAGAAAGGAGGGCGGGAGCAAGGATGTGTGAGTAAGGAAACAAGTGGGGCTCCCATTCTCCAGTTCCGGCCTGAGAAGGGGAGGCTGGGCAGGGCCCTACCTTTCCTCAAAGGCTGCGAGCAGGCGAGCATCCAGGATGTTCTCCTCGGGCTCCCAGGTGCTGTACCTAGAGGGAGGCGGGGGGAGGCAGGAGGAAGCCGAGTCGGTCCCGGGGCAGGGAAGGAGCAGCGGGCGGGTGGGTGTGTCTGTAACTTTCTTGGGGCATTGTGCTGCATTTCAGCGGAAGGGGGGAAAGAGGAAGAAAGAAACCTCCCCGGGAGCAGGCTGGGGCTGAACACGGCACAGAACCTACTTACTTCTGCGACCAGCCCTTCCATTTCACGAGGTATTCCATGCGTCCCTGCAGAGGCAAAGGGGGATGCGTGTGTGTGCACGGAGGGACGCGTGACGAGGACACAGAAATACATGCAAAAAATGCATGCGGCAAAGGCATGCGCGAAGCCCCGCCGCCAGAGGCACGCGCCCGCCGCCAGCCCCTGCACGAAGCGCTGCACAAAGTGCATGCACCGGGCCCGCCGCCCCCCCGTGCAATCCGCGCGCGGCTGCAAGTCCGCGGAGGGCGCTGGGGCTCGAGCCGCCGCCGCGGCCGCGCCGGGCCGGGGGGAAGGGAGGCCGGGCTGCAGCAGGGGGAGCGCGCCCCGGCCGCGGGAGGGCCCGGCGGGCCGCGGCCGGGGCCGGGGGCACCTACTTTCCGGATGCGCCGCTTCAGCAGGGCCTCGGCCGCGAACACCCGCTCCCCCACCGCCGAGAGCTCCATGTTGACTCGCCGCTTCCCCCTTCGGCCGCTTCCAGGGGCAGAAAAGCAGCAGCCAGCGCGCGCCAGCCCATAATACTCCGCTGACGTCACCCCCCGCGCCCCGCCCGCGCGCCCCGCCCGCGGCGCCCGCCCGCCCCACGTGTTGCTAACGACGTTGCTAGCGCCGGGCGGCCGCGGCCCGCGCCTCCGCGCTCCGATTGGCCGCGCCCGGGCCCCGCCCCGCGCCTTTCTCCCCGCGTTGCTACGTGACCCGCGTTCCAATCGCCGGGGGCGGAGTCCGCGGCGACTCCGGAGACTCGCGCGGGGGGGCGGGGGCGCCGCCGGAAGTGACGTCCCGGGAGGGCGGGCCCGGCCGCTGTCAGTCTGCGGGGCTCGCGCGGGGCCGCCCGCCCTCCCTCGCGCCGGCCCCTCCCCCGCCGCCCGGGTTCCCCCGGCGCTCCGGCGCCCCGCGGCCCTCGCGGGGACCCCGCGGCCGGGTCGGCCCGGCCCGCCCGCTCGGCTGCCCCGGCGCGCCCCGCCCCGCCGCGGCCGGCGCCCGCCCTCCCCGCGCCGCGCCGCGCGCCGCACAATGCACAGGTGCCGGGGCGCCGCGGCCCGGCCCGCACCCCGAGAACCGGCGCGCCCCGGCCCGCGCCCGCCGCCCCCCGCCGCCCCGACCCTGTCTCCATGGCAACGCCTCCCCGCGCCCGCCCCAGCCCGCCGACGCGTCAGCGCCCGCGTCCGGGTCTCCGCCGCGCGGCCTCGCCTCGGCCCCCCTGGCCCGGCGGGGCTCGAGCGCGCGCCCGCTCGGACGCACCCCGAGGAGCCCGGCGGCCCCCCCACCCCGGCCCCCGCGCCCCGGGGCCCGCGGGGGCGCCGCGCGCCTCCCCCCCCCCCGCCCGGGCCGCGCGCCCTCCGCCCCCTGCCCCGCCCGGCCCCGCGGCCCCTGCCCGGCCCCGGGGCTACCGGCGCGGGCCCGGGGGACCGCCTCGGCCGGGCAGGGGCTCGGCGGGGCGGGGGCTGGGGGGCCGGCCCGCCCCGTCCCGTCCCGGGCACCCGGCCAGGTCTGCGCCGCGCGCCTGCCCGCGTCCTCCCGACGGGCGCCGCCGGCTCGGCGGGGAAGCGCGGCCCGGGCCTGGCGGGGCCCCGTCGAGGCCGGCGGCGCTGCAGGGAGAGGGGCTCGCCGGGCGGGGGCGCGGGGCCTCGCCCCTCGGGGGCACCGGAGCCGCAGCCCCAGCCGGGCCGGGTCGCCCCGGCCCTTCTCTCCCGCCGCCCGAGCCGCGGGCCACGCGCTGTGGTTGAGGCGCGGTGGGAACCTGACTCGACGGGGAGGCCGCGGCGAGGAGGGACGGGCGAGGCCAGCAGCCGAGGAGCGCGGCCGGCGCGCCGGGAAGCCGGGGAGGAACCTGGTCTCGGGCCCGAAGTCGGGTCGCGGCGGCGGCGCGCGGCCCCCGGGCTCCCCCCGGCCCCACCGCTGGCGACGCGGGGCGCGGGCGCGGGCCTTGTCCCGGCTCGGCTCGGCGCGCGCGGGGGCCGGTTCCCCCCCGGCGGTTCCGTTAACGAACGGCGCGGGGGCGACGCCCAGGCCCGGCCCGCGACCGCGCCGGCCGCCCGCGAGAGGCCGCGTCGTCCGTCGTAAAAAGCCACTCCCGGTAACAGACAGTTTCGCCGGCCGGTGCCGGGGAAACAGCTGTTTCTGGTTAAGCTTAAATACTTTCCAACAGTTTGGGCAGTAAAAATAAAGTCGGCCTCCGCCGCCTGTAAGTGTCTGGTTTCCCCGCCCGGAGAAAGCCCACCCTGCGCCCGGCCCGGGGCGCCCCTCCCGCCCCCGACGCGTTCCCCGCGCCCACGAAGCCCGGCGATTTCCCTTCACATCGGGGGTCTGGAGCCGGGTCCCCAAGAGCTGTGTTTGCCTCGGGCGCCCTCAGACCCCGGAGGCTGCAGAGTCGGGGCTTCGGTTCCACGCCGGGAAAGTCGGCTCTGCGCCCCGTCCCGCCCCCCGCCCCCCGCGCTCTGCCCCTCCGCGGAGCTCCCGCCGTGAGCTCCGGCGTCCCGGGGGTGAAGCCCGGCGCGGCGCGGCCCTCCCCGGGAAAGGCCTCGGCCATTCTTGCCTCCCTCGGCGCCCGGAGCGGCTCCCGCCCCACGGCGTGGGCAGGCTCGCCCGGGGCGCGTCGCGGGGGACGTCGGGGCGGGCCCACGTCGGGGTTCCCGCCGAGCGCCGGCAGAGGGGGAGCTCGACCCCGGAGAGAGCTGAGAACAGTCACACCAAGTGCAGCTCTTGCTGCGGGGGCAGATTCGGCCCCGACGAGGGCGGCCCCCCTGGGGGTCGGGGGCCCTCGCTCCGTCCAGCCCTCTCCAAACAGCGGGGAGACTGGACGCCTCCCCGGGCATCTCCGCTCCCGCCTCCAGAGGCCTACGGGCGCGGTCCGAGGGTGGGCAGTGCCCGCGCGGGGCGGCCTCGCCCGAGGGCAAAGGAGGAGGCCTGTGGCGCTGGGAGGGGCCGTCTGGGGCTGGCGAGGGGCTCAGCCCTCGAAACCAAGGGCGCAGGCGCCTGCTCCCCACCCCTTCAACTTCCTTTCCCCTCCGGGTTCCATTCCAGACCCCCCCTCTCCCTTCTCTCCGCACACGGCCGCCGTTGGCTGTCAAAGAAACACCACGGTTTGTCCCCAGGGGCATCTTCTGGGGTAAACAAGACAAAGTTTCAAGAACCAGAACCTTCAACTTCGCATCCCACCCCCAGGTCCGCGGGCGGGTCCGCGTGCGCCGCGTCTGCAGTAAATAAGGTAACGGCGTCTAGTCCTCCAGCCCCATATGGCTGCAATTTGAGTGTCTTTGGAGACGGTGCCGGTGTTGGGGCGGGGGCGGGAGTGGAAGGGAGTGAAAGTGGAAATCAAGCGCTCTCGGATCGCATTTTTATGTAGGAAATTGTCAGCGACTCCCTTAGCAGCCTTCCCGCCACCCCCGAATTCCCGGGGTGAGCTGCCCTATTTCTTTGTTTACAGAAATGCTGCCGCCCGCCCCCCTCGGGACACCTGCTTCCTAACCCCTCGGCCTCCTGCCCCTTTTTGCACCGATTCTGGTGACCCGGACCCTGGACCCACAACTTCTTCGCTTCCCAACAAAGGGCCTCCAACCTGCTCCCCACCGCCTGGGAGCCAGCCCCAGCCCTGGGCCCCGGTCCCTGCCAGGTGCCCTGCTCTGCTCCCTGCCCAGCCTCATTCCAGCCCAGAGGTTGCCGCAGGTCCAGGGGGGCTCTGAGGCCTCCCAGGCCACCGGCAGCCTGAGCCCCCAGCGGGGCGGCTGGAGGCTGGAGCGGTCCTAGGGGAGGGAGAAGGGGCGGGCTGGGGCCAGCTCCTGACTTCTGGGTCCCCTGCCAGACCAGCAAGCTCCAGCGTCCTCTAGCTGGAGGGTGAGGCCGGCCTCGGCTCCTTTATTGGGAGCATTTCCACCCCGCAGCTTGGCGGGCGTCGGACCTGCCCAGTCTTGGCTGCAGACTCGGGCGGCTTTGCAGACCAGCCGTTTGCCTGGGGTGCGGTGGCAGGGCTGCCATGAAGCCAGCCGGACGGGTCCCAGGTGTGGCGGCTGGGCTGGGCTGTGCAGGGGACCGGAGCTCCGCTGGTGTCCTCTGCCTCTGCCTCTCTCACTCCCCACTGGAGCAGGGCGCTCTGCCTGCCTGAGGGGCACACAGGGGCCACCAGGTGACCCAGCACCCCACAAAAGAGGTCTGAAGACTCCACCTGGACTGACTGGTCAGGGACTGGAGAAGAGGCTGATTTCTGGCCTGAAGTCCAGCCTTGAGTTCCCGGGAACGAGGGGTTCTCCCCCTGCTGTCCACCTTCTCCTCCCTAGTGGACAGTCGGACCACCCTGGTGAGGGACGCTCTCAGACCTGCTACGAAGGATAAGCAGCGGCTGACCATGTTCCAGCCCCGCCCCCAGCCTGCAGCACTCTAGAGCCACATAAACTTTGACTTCATCTCTAAACTCCAGCCCCCCTCCTCCAGGCCACCCCAATTCCCCTTCAAAGGCGGGGATAGTGCCACCCCCAGGCAGGCAGCACCTATGGAGCAGTGCCGCCTGGCACCGACCTTATCCCACCCAAGCTCACAGCAGCCACGGGAGATGGATTCTGTTGCCCCATTTCATAGATGAGAAAGCAGAGGCTCGCTGCAGCAAGCAGCCTCCCCCACCCCCCCAGCCAGCGTTCTGACCCCCAAGTTGTAAACCCAAGTCTTTCTGACACCGCACAGTAGGGGCCTTGGGCCGTCGGGCATTTCAGCTCCTCGGGAGTTTAAGGAAGGAATTCAGGGTAAGGAGGGCCAGCGGCGCTAAGTGTGGGGGGGGGGGCTCCCCAGAGCCGGGCCCTGCCTGCTGAGCGTGACACGGCTTGGGGGCTTCAGCCGCACGGAGGAGCCTGAAGGGCGGGGCAGGAGTCGCAGGCGGCCACCCGCCCGGCGCGAGCCAGCCGCGGGCAGCTGATTGTCTTCCATGATGGAGAGCCGCGGCCCACCCCGGGCTCTGGGCGCAGCCCTCCCGGGCTCAGGTCCACTCACGAGCCGCTGCCCTGGTGCGAGTCACGGAGCCACCCGCGGCAGCTCCGAAGTGGTTTTCGGAAGTGGTTTCCCGTTCCCCGCCGGGCGGGAGGGGCAGGGGCGCATCGCACGCGGCCTCCGGGCGGCGCCGCGGCGGGGCTTGGCGGCCCCCGCGGGTGCGCCGAGGGGGGCTCCCCCGCCGGCGATCCCGCGTCAGGCCGAGCCGCGCCAGCTTCCCACCAAGGACCCCCGGGCACCCCTCCCGATGGGAGACGCGGGCGGGGTGGCCTGTTCCCACAGTCGCCGGCTCCCCAGGCGAGCGCCCTGGGGTCGGGCCCCCGCGGCGCCGGCGCTTCGGTCGGTCGCTGCCCGGTCCGCTCCCCCGGCCCTTCACAGGCCCCCGCCCCGGGGCTCGGCGGGACGCCGGGGCTCCGCCTGGCTGGACCCCCGCCCCCGCCCCTGGCCCCGGCGGAGGGAGCCGGGCGGGCTTTCGCCGGGAGTCCCCGCACCTCGAGTCGGCTCCACGCTGGAGGCCCCGGGCCGGCGCCGCGTCCTCGCACGGATTTTCTCGCCCCAGGGCCAAAGCTCAGCCTCCGCTCCCGGGGTCTGCAAGGCCGAGGCGGGGTCGGCCGGCCGGAGGAGGCGGCGCGGGCGGGGAGGCGAGGCCGCAGCCTCGCGAGGGAACGCCGGGGAGCGAGGAGCCGCCGGCCGGGCTGGCCGCTGCGGGGCGGGCGGCGAGCCCTGGGGCCGACGAGCCGGCTTTGCTGGGGACGCCGCGACCGGCCCGGGGGTCGGGCTTCTTGCCTCGGGGAAACCTCGGCTCCCATCCGAGCCTTCCTTGGCACCCCTGGAATGGGCTTTTTGTGGTGCGCCCCCCCCCCCCCCGCCTCTGGCCCAGGAGGGGGCGCCGTCGGGGGGCCGGCGAGGCTGAGCGGGCGTCGAGGCTCCGCGCACGCCCAGAGGCCGCGCAGCCGGGTCCGGGCCGCCCGAAAGCTCCGCCCGGCTCCAGCGCCTCGCCGCCCCCGCGCCGGTCTCCCCGGACGCCCCCTCGCGGGGCGGCCCAGCCCTGGGGGGGCGCGCGGACGGCCCCCCGCGCCGGGGCACGCGCGTCTGGGAGCTCGGACGCCACGCCGTTTCTCGCGGCGCAGGAAAGGCCCCGATCGGCTTCCCCGCCCTTCCCTGGAAACCGAGTTCAGGAAACGCGGTGCCGTGTTTGCGCGCAGCCTCCTGCCTGGACAGCCGCACCCCGGGAGTCGGGGCCGCCGCGATTATGCAAACATCTGGGGCGCCCAGCGGCCCGGCTCCCCCACCGCCCGCGAAGCCGCGCGGCCTCGTGTGCATGACAATGGCGCGCCCAGCGCGACCCCGCAGTCGCGGGCGAAATCAGTTTTCTTTCCTGCAGCGACTCCCGGAGACCCGGGACGGAAACCAAGCCCGTCCCTGCCGAGGCGGAGCGCGGGGCTCCCGCCGGAGCCCGGGGAAACGCGCCCCGCGGCGGGGACGGGGGTTCTGTGCTGATCCAGCTCCAGCGTGCACTTGAGCTACTTTTTTGGGCAAACGGGTGAGGGGCGGAGCCGCTGGGGGCGCCCCCGCGGACCCCTCCTCCGCCACCGCGCCCACCTTGGGAGGGTCGGGGCCCGGGGCCGGGCCGGCGTGTTGCAGGCGGACCTCGAGGGCGCGGCCGGCCGGGCGGGGCTGGCGGGGCCGGGCTGCGCATTCGGGGGCGCGACGGCCCGCGGCGGGGTCGGGCCTCGAGTGCGGCCCGCGGGCTCAGCGCGGCCCCTTGGGGCGCCCAGGGGAAGCCCTCCCGGCCGGGGCGCCGCCCGACCCCGCAGCAGGGTCTGTGGGTTCCCCGCGGGCGCCGCGGGGGTGGAGGTGGGGAGGCAGGCGCGAGGAAGCTTCCTTCCCACGCTGCAAACATCTTTTTGATCTTTTTTACTCGGCAGAGGCGCGGGAGGGAGAGACCCACACGGGACGGTGGCGCCCGAGTTTGGACCAGAACTGTAACCTGGGACCACTTCAGGGCGACCCGGGGCTCCAGAGGGTTTTTCTGACGCAGCTTGTCCGCTTGGGCCAGCGGTGTCCCCCCCCAGTGCACAGGGCCGGCCCGCGGGCGCCGCCACCGAGCGGGGTGCCCGCCCGCGCCCCCCGCGCCCCGCTGTGGACAAGCGCCCCCGTCGACGGCCCGAGCAGAGGCAAGTTTCACTTTGATGGCGGAGGCGCGGGCAGCGCGGGCTGGCTCCGAGGGGCTCCTCTTTCCGAGGAACTTCAGTTCCTTTTAAGACGGGGCTGCAGGAGGAAGCGGATCCGGCGCTGCTGTGGGACGCGACCCGCAGGGACATGGGCGGCGAGGCGGGACGCGAGGCTCCAGGTGGGGCGCGGCGGGGTCTCCAGGGTGGGCGTGGGTGGGGGCCCCGCGGACCTCCGCCGGCGGGTCCACCCCACCCCGCTCCCTCACACCTCCCGGAGGCGCCCCGAGGCGCGGCTTCACAGCTTCCTCCCCAGGGAGGGGGGTGGGGGCGTGTCCTTGGGAAGGGGACCCCCCAAGGTCCCCCAATAAAGATTCTAGCCCTCTCCTGCCCCCCCAGCCTCATCCCAGCTAGAAAGCACGGCCGGTGCAGTGTGGGAGTCGGGATTCCAGCTGTTCCATCACAGCCCCAGGCTTCAGCCTCGGATCCCCCCTTTCTGAGGGCCCACGGGGCGGCCAAGAGCGTGGCCGGCAGAGTCGGGCTCCACCGCCCCAAAGTCTCTGGAGTCTGCAGAAGGCCCCCGGCCTGCTCCTCCTGCACCGCCGGCTGCTCCAGGGGCCCGGGTGGTAGGGGACTGTCCCCCGCTCCCTCCTCACCCCTAAAGCGAGGCCAGGAGTCCCCCCCTCCACCCTGAGCAGCTTTGACACCTGACGGTGGGGGGGGGGCGCCGGCCCTTGTGAAAGCGCAGGCAATGGCTTCGTTGGCTCGTTGGCTCGTCAGACAACTCAGCCCAGCGGAGAACAAAGGGCTGCCCATGCGGAAGGGGGGGCACCGGCCTGGGGCCCGCACAGGTTCCAGTGCCCAAGCGGGGGCTCGTGGGCCTCCCCACTGCCCAGGCCGCGGGGGTGTCTGCGCACAGGGTGAGCGCGGGGCGGGGGGGGGGGGGGGCGCCCAGGGAGCTCGGGTCCGGGGGCTTGTGCGGCTCCTGCACCACTCAAACCCCGGAGGGGACGTCGGCGACCCCCGCTGAGAGGATGGGGGGCAGCGGGAGGGAGAGGGCGCAGAGGTGGGTGTTGGGGGAGAAGAATTGGAGCCACAGAAAAGCCTCTTTCCCCGCCGCCCCTCCCTCGGGTGGGGGCCCCAGAGTCTGGGCTCACCCTGGGGACCCCTCAGCAGCCACTTTTCAAGTGCAGCCGAACTCCTCCCAGCGCTGCAGGCCCCGGGGTCTGCCGTCCCGAGGAGCAGCCGCGGCTCAGGCCTAGAGGCGGCCCTTCCCCTTCCCCCTGCCGGACAGGCCAGCGCCTTCCCCCTCGCGGCCGGGACAGCGCCAGGGAAGAAGCCCCGCGGCCAGGACGGCAGAGGACGGGGCGCCACGGCTCACGCCGCTGGCTGTTCCTGGCAGGGAAAGTGCTGCCCGGCTGGCCTGCGGCTCCCGCGGCTCCAGGCACGCCCCGCCCCGGAGGAAAGCACCCTGGGGCTGCCTGTCGGCCCCCTGGGC